GTAAATAAGAGAAGCAAGTATCCTTTTTACTTTTCCTTATTCCTAACATTAATGGACATCCATAAGAAATAGTTGTTAGTCTCATTCATAAAAAAAAATTGAAGAATGGACCCAGTGGTAGAAAGCAGACTTACAGAGACCTACATGACTGTGGCTGGTCAGAAGTTCTGCAGAGTTTTGCGGGATTCCAGGCAGGAAAACTTCCCTGCCTCATTAAAATACCAAGTATTCTGCCCATCTATTTAGCCTTCCTAAGGATGGTTCTATCACTAGGTGATTGACCAGTGAGATTAGAAAGGTGGGTCCTCCAACAGATAGACTAGGGATTTTATAGCCTTGACCAGTCTAGGGGACAATCCCCCCACCCCCTTTCAGTATAAGCCAAAAATTAATTAAGAGACAAGGGACCTACAGTAACAGTATATGAAGGTGATTTTCAGACAATGATAGATTGACACCATCCTTTGAAATATTCTAGAAAAAAAATCATTTTGCACCCTTTGTATGTTTAAAATGTAGTATTATCAGAAACCCTCAAAAATAAAATAATATAAATAATTCTTGATTGTTTGTGATATTAAAATCATCAATGAGTTGGGTATAGTTGCACACACCTTTACTTCCACCCCTCAAGAAGCAGAGGCAGGTGGATCTTTGTGAGAGCAATCGCAGCCTGGACTCCATAGCAAGTTCCAAGTCAGTTAGGGATACAAGGAGACCCTGTGTCAAAAAAAAAAACCAAAAAAAAGGAAATCATCTATGAATATATCAAGATTTGAAAAACCTATAAAAATTTATGTAAGAAAATGCTTAGCATTTAAAGATCAATTAAATAATAAAATTTATTCCATTCAGAAAATTTAAGCTGGTAGAATTATGCGGGACCAGAAATTAGAGCTATGTGAAAAGACAATAAAGATATTTAATGTGTCTTTTTTCTACATACTTCTTTTATGGAGTAACTGTACTTTTCAAGTGATATAAGAATTCATTAGCTGAAGGGACTATTAAGAAAAGATGAACCTGTTGCTAAGTTGACTACTTTAGCTATTACAGTTATAAGTTTATAATATGCACAAAGAATTGTCTCTAGACAGCAGGTTAAAAACTTTCTAAGGTAAGAAAGTAAACCACCTTAGATTCTTAATTCTTGAATAAGCATTATTTGAATGTTATCTTATTACTAAGGAGGAAACACTTTAGAATAAGTAACAACACCCAATAAAGTAATACCATATCAAGTTGTATTTGCTTAAACAAATGCAACAGCCTTTAAAATGCAATTCACACTGAATAATTTATGAAACGTGTACATATATTTCAGGTATAAAATTTGGAGAATCCAAGATCAAGGTACTAGTGGTTTTGCTGTTTGGTCAAGGATAGTCTCCTTGCCTCTAAATTAGTACCTAATGTTTGTATATTCTGAAGAGAAAGTGTTACATATTCTCATCAGAACTCAGGAGACAAAAGGACCTCACTAGTTCACTCCAGCTTTTGTTCTTTTTTAATGTGATACATTTCATAATCATTTTCAAATAGTACTATCTCCAAAAAACACCTAAAGGAGATTAAATCCTAACATGTATATGGGGGACATATAGACAATAGCACAAGTCATTAGTGCATAAAAGTGTCTAAATGGTTAATTTTTTCTAGGATCTCTTCTAGGTTAGAGAGCAAAACTTGATGTCACAAATAATCAATAGAGTATCACAATATTCCCCAAACACTTCTTAGAAATTTGTTGCTTGGAAGGATATCCTTCAGATCAATAATGTCTTCTTTTGTATTTTGTTTATTTTTATTTTATGTGTATGAGTGTATTGCTTGTACGTACATAAGTAAACCTGTGTTAAGTAATGCCCAGGAAAGTCAGAAGAGGGCATCAGACCCCCAGGAACTGGAGTTACAAACAGTTGTTGAGCACCATGTGAGTTCTGGGAACCAAACCTGAGTCCTCTGCAAGAGCAGCTGATGTTCACCACTGAGCCATCTTTCCATCCCCAAAACAGTCTTTTCCTACATAAAAAATATGAATATAAAATCTTTCCCTACCATAATATTTTTAAAGATCATGGATAGAACTTAAATTCAAATCAGTAAAGAAAAATGCAACAGAAATTAAAGGTATTAATAGGTATTATAGTGCATTGATTTTAGCTTCAAGATATTGTATTTGAGTTTTAATACAGCCGTTATTATTGAATTGAAAATATTCTTAGACACATAAACAATACCATAAATGAAGACTACTCACTAACAAACATTTCGTCATCAAAATATTCAAGAAGTACCTTGAAAGATCATATGACATGCTTAGCTGTTATTTCTCTTATTTTATACTTTTTCATTTATCAATTTCATATTTTGCTTAAATGAGCATTTGAAATCACAAACCATGACTATATCAGAATGCTTAAAATGTGTTTAGAAACTGTTATTACCTTCTTGATAAATTTGTACCACTTAAGTTTTAAACTAAACTTATGAACATATTATAAAAAATGTATAAACTAGGTAAAATTGTTCAGTAAAAGAGTTTTGGGTTAATTTTTGCATTTGACTGAATTATTTCAGTTGTTTGACATTTTCTTCATAAAGAGAAATTTTAAATACTTTCTTCTTGTAGGGTTGTCAGCTTTGTATTTTTCATTTCTTAATTTATAGTTATTCTACCAAAGCCAATTAGTTTCTATTCACATATTGATATATTTGTGTACTTATATGTTTGTTATTTGCTTAAATTTATATTTCTGTGTATAAACACACAGTTTTCCTTTGGATTAATGATTTAATATTCATTAAATTTTGATTAAATTTTCTTCTAGGTCAGTTGTGGTGGTGCATACCTTTAACATCAGCACTGGGGAAGCAGAGGCAGGTTGATTTCTGTAATTTCAAAGTCAATCTGGTCTACACTGAGAGTGCCAGGCCAACAGGGGCTACAGGGAAATCTTTTCTCAAAAAACATATATAAATATATATTTCTCAAATCTTTTCTCACAAAACATAAAGTAGCATTTATGTATAGCGTTATTAGAATTTGTCATTTGGAATGTGAATTACATTAAATTTAAAATTCAATAACTGAAATATGAAAAATCTCTATGCTATTAAAATTATTGTGTTCACTTTAGCAGCACATATACTTAAATTGGAACAATAGCAAGATTAGCATTGTCCCTACACAAGGGTGGCAGGTAAATTTATAAAGTGTTCTATATTCTTTATAGATCAGATATAAGTACCTAGGTGCACACTACTTTTACTCATCTGTTTGAGGTTAATGCTTTCTTTCTTATTTTCAAGGATAGATAATCTCAAAAGAATGTGAAATATGCTATCATGTAAATATTTTTCTTTCTGGTTGAGAGTTTGAATTGTGTATTCAGATAATTTCATGTATTAGCTCTGTTGTCGCCTGTGGACAGAAAATAAAACTTTGCTTGGATAAATAGAAAAAAAATCCAAAATCCAAATATTAAAATAAATTTATAGCACTCTTCTATAAATAGTGTACCTTGTAAGCTGTTAAAAATATTGCAATATATATACATATATATATATATAATTTACTGTAATGCTCAACTAATTGCACTGATTGCAGTTAATAAATGAAATATAAATTCTGCTAATATGATGCTTCTTTCACAGTTTTCCTTTCTATTAACCAGATCTATTTCAATACATTTCTATGTGCCTTCCTTATTTTTTCCTACAATGAGGAAAGACGTGCAACTTTCTGATTTTGTGAGTTATCAAGATCCTCTTGTCAGCCATGAAATATGACATGATGCCTTTACACATCCACTAGGGAAACTGAAATCTGAAGGTAAAGAAGATGTGACAAGGATCTGCACAATTTGGAACCCTCTTATACCACAAAAGACACATGTGGCAGTTCCATGAGTGAATAAACAGTAGATGCAAGATAATTTCCATTTCTAAAGTACATATCCCTAAGAAACAAAAATATACATCTGTGAAATATCTTTACAGTGACATTATTAGAAGCCCTCTAAATATTAGGACAAATGTAGAATCAATCCAAATACCCATCAACTGATCATCAGATGAATAAAATAAGTAAAATTTATACATTAGAGTATTTTGTTTAAAAAAAAGACATGCTAGAATGTGAATGAACCTCAAAAGTTTCAGAAAACAAAAGAAGCTAGTCACTGATGGTTACTTATTACAATTCAGTTTTCTGCAATCAGCATGTAAACTAGATACGTCTCTTGATGCAGAAAGCAGGTTAGTTACTTTCAAGAATGAAAATGATGAGGGAATGCAGAAAATGAAGTCTAAGGGCCCTTATTAAGTATTTTTAACTTAATTGTAATGGTAGTATGACTCTGCATTTGTGTTTTGTCTGATAAGATGATGTGAATGCTATCTTAATTATAGTAACAAAGTTATTTTTAAAAGCCAAGAAAGTAGGAATTCTATTCTACTTATGCTTTCCTTGCTATATGCAATTTAATACAAATGAGGTTCTCTTGTTTGCAATTTTTAAAAAACTTGATTTCTATTTTATTTTATAAAAATTAATGTATTATTTTGTTTTATGTGTGTGGGTGTATTGCCTGCATGTATGTAAGTACTCTGATGTCATGCTATGCCCAAAAAATTCAGAAGAGGGTGTCAGATGCCCTGGAACTGGAGTTATGGACAGTTGTTAGCTGTCATGTAGGTGCTGGGAATTGAACTCGGGTCCTTTGCTAAAGCAGCCAGTGCTCTTTTTTGCTGTGCCCTCTCTCCAGCCCCACTGATTTCAATTTTAAAATAATTCTATAAAATCTCCTTTAGAAAGAAATTCTATTTGACCTGGAAGGACAGAAATCATATATTTGAAATTTCTGAAGAGCAATTAGTTTTGGAGAGTTAATATCAATTTTTGTGACAAATATTTCAGTGGTTAGAATAGCTTAACTATACATCCTTAAAATCCCAGCAACTGTGAGACTAAAGTGGAAGACTCCAGGGTATCCTGATCATATAGTTCAGAACAGTCTTTTCCAAAGCAATTATAACAAAAACAAAACCTGTGTTTCAATTGTCCCAATATATCAAGAAGTTACAGGAATACAGGTTCAAACTCAACAGCCTACGTCTAATGATTCTCACACACGTACATAAACAATGGTTTGCATAATGCTTACTTTTCTATCTTTTTAACAAAAATACATGACAAAGACAAGGAAGGACATATTTGGAGAGCTCTGACTATAACTGTATTGCCTGTGGTGTTAAGCAGAACTTTATGAATGACGGAGTGCATCTGGAGAACAACTCTTTATATCAGGATGGATCACTGCTTTGCTTTCTCCTTTTCCTTCTTCCATCCATTTCTCCAGATCATATGTTTGTGTCAAATCCATCCAGGGTGGCTCTTTCCTGATAAGTTAATCCTCTGAGAACATATCCTCTCAGAAACATCTACAGACAGCCTTCATCATCTCTTAGGCGATTCTAATTGAGTCATATTAAATAAGTTTACCTCTTGATAACCAAATAAATCACTTTCAATCATATTGAAACATAAGGTAACCCATTATCCCAATAACAAGTAACTCAACTACAGAAATTCTGAAAATAAAACATCATACTGAAATGACAAAACTGAAAGGCAAACCAGATTCTGAGCTAACTGATGCATTAAGATAATTTGCTTCCTGTCCTAAACTTCTTAGTTGAATTGAAAATTCAGTTTCTTAAGAGTTTCAATTACACAAATAAGAAAATTAGTTTAAATGTGTATAATATAATTTTTACAACCCAGATCAGTACATGAAGAATAAGGGTTTTACCAATCCCCCAATATTGTCAATTGCAGGGTAAAGGGAAGACTTTCTGTCTTAGTGTGGATAACGTAAACACCTATGCCTCCAATTTCTGTCACTCTAATTGAGAATCTTATAGGTAAATGAACTTCAGAAATCCTCAAAATAAGAAAACAGACAGGAAATTCAAAATATAAGGAAAGCCAGTTTCACTTCAGGCATTTTTGAAAACTTCAGAAACTATTTCCAAAGAATAACACAGACATCATGAGTGTGAGTCTTCTGTATGGGTAATAACATAATAGCATATTGCATAGTTTGGATAAATGATAAGCAAAATGGGTTTTCTGGCTTACGATTTTAGAAGAAAATGGTATAATATAGTCCATCCTATGGATATATTTCTTTACAGCACAGTCTTAAGATGATACAAGTGACATAGCAAGAGGTAAGGATCACTGGTACATATGTATCTTTCTCATCTTTCTCTCTTCTCCAAATAAAGACACCAAGATTCAGTCATGGTGATCCAACATTAATGATCTCATTTGATTCTACTTATTTGCAAAAAAAAAAAAACACTTCATATAGCCTTTATATTGTTCTCTATCTACAAAAAGATACAAAAGTTTCTGGGGATATGATTCAGCCATTCTGCATTTGTCATTCAAGGAAGAGAACACAATTTCAGAAGCCCAGTATCCATGAAAACATCAGATGAAGGTGGTTGTTTGCCTGTATTTCCAGACTTCAAAGGAAGAGACAGGGAATCACCAGAAAGCTTGTTATTGAGACTAGTCACATAAGAGGATTCTGAGATTGATTGAAAGACCCATCTTCAAAATGAATAAGGATGGAAAAGCAATCCAAGGGAACTCCCTATATACACCTCAGATCTCCACATGCACAGGCACACCTATGCATAGGTTCTATACACACACACACACACACACACACACACACACTCGGAAACATACATACCACACACATATACATGAATGAAGAAAAGTTACCAAAAGGTACTATTATTTGTGTAAAACTATATAGACCTGAATTCAATAAATATTTTGAACTACTATATGATTATGCAAAGTTTAGGTATACAGGTCCTCATGTCTGTGTATACATATGTAATTAAATGAGGGTGTGTGTGTGTGCATGTGTGTGTATGTGTATGTATGAGTGTGTATATGTGTGTATAGCTGACCCTCCAAAGCCATGAATTCTCTACTTGTATGTAAATGGTGGGTCAAGATCTATTTGCATTTGTACTGGATTTATACAAATTTTCCTATCAATGCAGCATAGCTACTATTAATACGATATTTACATTAAATTAGATTAGGTATATAACATAGGAGATAATTTAAGGGATACCTATGTGCATAGGTTATATACAAATACTATGGTATTTTATATAGGGGACTGGTACATCTATAGATTTTGATTAGTACATGGTGTGAGTCCAACCATGAAGGTGGGGGAGAGAGAGACAGAGAGAAAGAGAGACAGAGAGACAAAGAGAGAGTAAAAAGAAATTCCTAAGGTACATTTCTGGGTGAGTGCTGGAGTTGGAGAAATATCATGCTTTAGAACGAATAAAAATATTTATTTTCCAGTGTCCAAAACCTTCTTAATATGGGCACAGACTTTACAGTGGAAATGATAATAATGCTTTATATTAAAAGCAGTAAATATTTAGTTTAACCAGCTTGCTTAAGTCCTCTCCTTACTTTTAATTGTATAATTAAGACAAACATATTTCACCTCATAAATTAGTACATATTAATTTTAAGTTCAGTATTCAACATTATGAAGTATGTTAACCAGAGGATCATTATTAATAACTCCAAACTTTGATTTTTCAACAGTACACTGAGGACACCTCAAAATGACAGGAAGCAAGTAGATGTCTTTCCACATTCAGTTTTAAAAACTGTGTGTTTAAAAATGATCATTGTTTTTATTGTGTATTCTTTAATTTAAAAATAAAATGAATATTTAAAAATATAATCAAGTAAAAAGGACAATGTAATGTATTTACATAAACATTGTGACTGCTGAAAGATCTTGAAAATTAATGACACAAAAAAAAACTTTTAATAATGACATTGTTATTTCTGCCAACTATCAGTATTGGAGTTAATTCTTTCAATGTTTCTGAGACATATTTGTAATAGTATTAATGTACAGAACATGTACATACATGCTCTGGTAATGATGTATGCTGTGATTTTATTGAGAATCATTTATAGATCTGATCTATGTAGACTTGAAAATCTACAAGGTGATGATGTCACATATAATACTTTAAAAATAATATCCTTTCATCATCAAAATGCATATATGTACATGCTATAGTCAATGACAGTCTGACCTGAATGTTTAACTATAAGATCAACAAAGTATAGTTATCTGTTTATTTTCTTTGCTATTAGCTGT